TCCAGCACTTTGACCTAGCGACAGTGAAGGAATAGCGATATATTTCCATCAGGATGGTGAGTGTCTTGGAGGGGAAATTGAAGGTGGTGGTGTTCCCATATATCTGCTGCCTTTGTCCTTCTAGATGGAATTAGTCGTGGGTTTGGAAGGTGCTGTCTTAGGATCTTTGGTGAATTTCTGCAGTGCATCTTATAGATAGTGCACATTGCTGCTACTGAGCATTGGTGGTGGAGGGAGTGGATGCTTGTGGATGTAGTGTCAATAAAGCGGGATGTTTTGTCCTGGATGGTGTCAAGCTTCTTGACACTCATCCCAGCAAGTGGAGAGTATTCCATCACACTTCTGACTTGTGCCTTGTAGATGGTGGACAGGCTTTGAGGAGTCAGAGGCTGAGTTACTCGCCGCAGTATTCCCAGCTTCTGACCTATTCTTGTAGCCTCTATGTTTATGTGGTGAGTCCTGTTGAGTTTTCAATCCATGATAACCCCCAGGATGTTGATAGTGGGGGATTCAGTGATGGTAACAGCACTGAATGTCAAGAGTGGTGGTTAGAATGTGTCTGTTATTGGTGATGGTCATAGTGTGGCATTTGTGTGGCGTGAATGTCACTTGCCACTCGTCAGTCCAAGCCTGGATATTGTCCAGATCTTGTTGCATGTGAACATGGACTGCTTCAGTATGTGAGGAGTATGGTGCCATGGTCAGTTTAGTCATCCTCCCTGCAATCCCCACGCTTGTCCACACAGCTCGCAATGAGACAATTGCAGGGACAGATGCTCCTCAAGGGCTGCATCTCCAGTTCCTGTACCTCCAGTGTTCTTGACCTTTTACATTTTGAAGAATCGCCATCTGAATACTTTTTTTACTATTTTTCTGCTGTAATCAATCTTGTACTTAAAAGATATTTTTAAGAAAAGGGGGACAAAACTACAGTCTTTAGCACATACTAAATATATTACTTTTGCTTTAAAGAATAGAAATACTCACCAATACTACACACCTATCATTGTTTTGTTTTAAAGAGTAAAAGCAACCAAACATCTGTTATTTTACCATGTTACTCTGATATGTTCAGGTCCAGCACATCACACTAAGTTGGCTACATATATACTGTTAAATTGTAGCCACCTTGATTCCATTCTTTCACTTCTGCTCAGTCCTGTTCGGATTTCTTTAATGCAGGCCAGAAGTGATCAAGTTTGTATCAACGACACCATCCTCTATCTGTGAGCATTTCTATTGGAGAGGAGGGGCTGTGAAGACACAACACATCACCAAAAACGAGTCCAGACAGAGGTACTCCCAACATCAGAGGCTGAGGGAAGTGACAGACAACAACAGAGGCAGAGGGAAGCTAGAGCAGACAGAGAGGGGAGACGTTAGACAGTCTCAGAGATGGAAGGGAGAAACAGACACCATTCTGAAAACGGGATCTGTTGGAGAAAAGTCTGCCCGCTACATTATATGGAGAGGGGAATGACAGTGACTGATTGGCAAGAACCTGGTGAGGAGTGAGGGAAGGAGATGAAGAGATACTTTTGCCCAACTCATTAACAGGCAAATTAAGAGCAATGAGGAATAAATCCAGTAAAAGGAAGGAGTGAGGGTTCAGAGAGCTAACTCGGGCTGCGACAGAACAGAAAGAGACTGTCGTGGAGAGGATTAAAGTAAAGTCAAAGCTCCAGAGTCTCTGGTCTATATTTTTGACAATAATTTACCCAATAATCCCTACGTTTAAATTGCAAATTTCCTGTATGCTGTTTTATGTTTAAGGGAACTTCCAAAATATTTGTTCTCCTTTCAAAGTTGGCCCCTTTGATATTTGTGTAAAAGCAAAAATAGATCTGCAAATTTTATTGTCTTTTGTGACTTAAAGACATCTCAAAGTTCTTTACAGGAGTTCTATTAGCAACCGAAGTTCTGAAGAAGAGTCCTATTGTTCTCAAAACTTTAACTGTTTCTGTCTGCACAGCTGTTGCCAGACCTGCTGATTTTCTCATGCGCTTTATTTCTGGCCTCCACTGTCTGCAGTATTTTTCTTTTTACTTCTATGCTAAAGCTGTACACCAGCAGATGAATTGTGTCAAACAGCACTATTCATTATGATGAGCACTGTAGCGCATCCCACCTTGTTCTGAAACAACTTGGGGTGCAGTTAGAAAACTTTAGTGTTTGCTTAATGTTGCCCAGACAGAGACGGATATTGTTCATGATGGAGCACAATGTGTGTGTGTGTTCCAGAATTGCACAGTACACATTGCAACAGAATAGGTGATGCTGTAAAGTTGTATGTACTAAACTGACCAATTTACAGCAACCAACTAACTGGTGTTTGCTCCACACAGGCTTCCACACTACTTATCACCATATTCCTCCCATTCTTTTTCCTCATCTGATTTTCCCTGAAATCCAGCTACACCATGCAGACTTAACCGTCTCATTCTTTAAGAGATATTGCAAACGTGAAAGGAACAGTTTAACTGCAAGTTACTCGGCCTGAGTAATTTGATCCTGCTCTTCTCTGGCATCATCCCAAGTCCTGGAGTGGCACTCCAAACCCACAAACCCTGTCTGTTGAGCCAATGAATAAGTGAAAGATCCTACAATTTAGAAGAAAATGTATTGTTGCTAGGATGTTACATTGAAAAGGAGAGTCTAGGGGCAAAAAAAAAGGTGAGTTGTTATTTGAGGGCAGCAACCTTTTTTAAATGAGGAAGAGTTTTAAATCCAAGACTGTCATACTGAAGGTATATGGTGTCAGACCTTAAATATTTTGTTTAGTTTTAGTGACCACAGCACCTTGGAAACAGTGTACAAAGATCCCATGTGTGAGAAAGAGTTTGAACATGTCTATTTGCAGTGGCTCCCTGGTATCATTCTGTGTCAGGAGACTAACTGTCTCCCCAGGGCGTGGTACACTTTCAAAGGTGCCATCTTTCAAATGGGGTATTAAACTGAAGCTTCATCTGCCTCTCAGATGCTAGTAAAGGATCCCAATTCAAAGTTCAGGGGAGTTCTTCCTGATATCCTCACCGTCCTATTTCTTGATTAACACCTAAGAACAGTGGAATCATTAACACGTTGCTGTTTGTTGGACCTTGTTGTGCACAAATTGTCTACTGTTTCTTCCACTCAAATAGTAACTACTACTGAAGTACATTATCAACTGTACAATATTTTAAGATTGTGAAAGGTTCAGTACAAATTCAAGTTTCTTCCTTGAGCCTTGAGAATAGGTAAATGGATGAAAACTGCTTAAAGCAACTTGGTAAGCAAGATTTTTTTTTTAGTTAGTTAGCCTTGAGCACAGTTTCAAATAAAACCATCATTGTGAAACAGGGATGTAGGCTATAGATAGTAATTAATAGACAAGGTGAGGATTGATGTCAGAAAGCTCACTATGGTTCCTTTTTTTTGAACCATGTTACAAGCAGGACAATAGTAAATCTATGATATTATTAAAGGGGTCTGAGTTGCCAGTGTGAGGAAGAAATTGAAGGATTTTATTGAAAGGTATAGACTTAGTAGCCTTCTGGTAAAACTGGACTTGCTACCTGTTGGTGAAAAGTTGAAGTATTTTGGTATTTGTTTGATGAACTACGGTAATTACCAAGGGTGTGTGCACTTTGTGTGTATCTGACCTGCTGTGCACAAGGCTGATATTCTGATGTCTGGGCCTTAAGCCTTGAATTTTGTTCCTGAACGTCTTTGGCCCTCAGTTCCTTTCTATATGATGTTTCTTCCAATTTAACCTTTTTAACCAAGTTTTGATCCTCTTTTAATGTGTGGCTTGATGTCAAAATGTTGTTGGCGTTATATATTTAATTCCAGTTGAAGGTGTATAAATGCAAGCTTTTTTTTATTGGCCAATATTTTATGGGATGTGTTGCTGGTCAACATTTGTTTCCCATCCCCAATCATCTGAACTGAGCGGCTTGCTGGACTTTTCAGGACCATTAGAAGTCAACCACTCTGCACTTATGTCCAGAATCATATGTAGGCCGGACCAAATAAGGATGGCCAATATTTTTCAGCTGAAGGGAAATTGAATCTGGGGGTGAATGTAAGTTGTCAAACACTTCACTTAATTTAGAAGTGAATATGCCTCCAAATATGGTCTTCAAAAATAGCTAACGTAGGATTATTTAAAAGGACTCATGATTACCAACATGTATGGAGTTTTTTTGAAGAATATTGGTTGAACAGAAGAAGTCAATGTAGCTGATCTAAATAAAGTTTCAGGCGGTAGATGGTGGTAAAGGCATTTGGCATGCTTGCCTTCATTGGTCAGAGTATTGAGTATAGGAGTTGTGATGACATGCTGTGCTTGTACAGGACATTGGTGAGGCCACTTTTGGAGTTTACGGTCACTCTACTACAGGTAGGATTTAGAGTAGATTTGTAGCTCTGGTTGTGGATGTTGTGGTTGGTTGGCTCGCCGAGCTGGTTCATTGTTCGGCAGCTGTTTCATTACCCTGCTGGAGAGCATCATCAGTGTAGCCTCCGATGAAGCGCTGGCGTGTTTTCCCGCCTGTCATTTAAACTCTGGTGTCCATTGAGCTGGATTACTTCACTTCCAGTTTTCGTTCGCAATGGAGTGTATATGGGGTTTAGCTCTGTGTTTACTGATGACTTCTTCAGTGGAGTACCAGGCTTCTAGGAATTCCTGTGCTTGTCTCTGCTCTGCCTGTCCCAGGATCCTGGTGTTGTCCCAATCAAATTGGTGGTTTTCCTTATCCAAGTGGATGGAGACGAGTGAGTATTGGTTGTGTCTTTTTGTTGCCAGTTGATGTTCATGCTCCCTTGTGGTTAGTTTCCTTCCTGGAGAACAATAAGAGTCATAGAGCTGTAGTCAATTTTTTTCCTTCTCAGTGTGTCATGCTAACTACCCACAAGTCATTCCTCAAGCATGTAAATTGGAATATAAACCTGGTTCTTTTCCTTTCTGACAGAGCAACTGAGTTTGAGATGAAATATTAATGGTTATGGTTCTTTTCTAGGAACTTGCTAGATATGAAGAAATGGAAAATAATGTGAAGTTGACTGAGAAAGGTAAATCAAGCTTAAGACATCTTGCAACATTTTCTTCATAGAATCTTTCAAGGTGTGGTGAACATACTGGTAATTTGTTTTGTAGATCTGCTTGAAGATGGTTTTGGGGAACATCCATTTTATCACTGCCTTCTTGCAGAAGTGCCAGCAGAAGATGCAACTCCTGAAGGTAGAATTTGCTTCGTTTTTCCTTTTGACGTGACTTGACAGTTCTCTTTTTTTAATTTAACTTTGGTATTTATTTGCATATCTGTTTGCAGATGGCAGTTATGGGAAGGATATTATCAAGCCGGAGAGAGTTCAGAAGAGATTTAGCAGGATGTTGCCCAAATGGAAAATAAAGAAAGGCTAGATAGCCAGGGACGTTTTTCACTAGAGCGTAGGAGGTTGAGAGGTGACATTAAAGAAGCTTCTAAAATAATGAGGGGTATAGATAGAGTTAATGGTAGTTATCTTTCCCTAGGGTGGGGGATTTCAAGGCTGGGGGCATATTATTAAGGTGAGAGGAGAGAGATTTAAAAAGACATGAGAGGTAAATTTTATAAACAAAGGGTGGTTTGTGTGTGGAATGAACTTCGTGAGGAAGTGGTAGATGTGGGTACAATTACAACATTTAAAAAACGTTTGGATAAGTATATGAATAGGAAGTCTTTGGGGGGATGTGGGCCGGGAACAGGCAGGTGGGAGTAGCTTAGTTTGGGATTATGTTTGGCATGGACTGGTTGGACCAAAGGGTCGGTTTCCATGCTGTGTGACTCTATGACTCCATGTCCTCGAAGGAAGTATGATTTCATATAACTTTAGTGTGGAATGCATATTAACAAAAGGGGTTTTAGAAAAATTGATGGTAAAACAAAGTTGACATGTCTCTATAACCCTATTTGCTGTAGGTGTGGTTGTGAAGGTTGTCATTCTAACATTGCTTGCAACTGAGTTCACCAGTGCTGCATTTCAAACCAGCACTCTTCTTGCCTAGTGAAATGTTGTTTATTTCCTTATTAACAAGGACTCTTTTTTTTCCTTTTTTTGAGATGCACACAAAGGATGAATATATTTTTAATGTATAAAATGAAGTTGTTTGGTTAAGTAGTTGAAAGGCTACTAATTTTATGAATTATTTTTTCGACAAGATTGTATCCTGGTATTTATGTTAATTCTATCGTAAACATGTTGAGGCTTCTCATTGGTCTTTCAACTCTGTATTTGAATCCAGTTTCCACACCAATTTTGAATGCATTATTTGAGATGGATCTACAGGTTACATGCTAAATTAACAAACTAAATCAACAGTATGAATTTAGAGAACCAAAATCTCAATCTATTTTAAGACCAATCTCAAAGTAACTTTATACAGCAGCAGAAGAGTCACATGCAAATTTGAGCTTGCTGTGCAAGTGCGTAGTGTTCTTTTAATCAAGTGAATTAGTCTTAAAGATGAGCTAGATTAATTGAATTTATTAATTATGAAATTACCTTTTTTTTGTTTAAATATCTGGTTCTTATTTTTAATAATGTTGAACATACTTTTTTTCTAATTTATTCCCAATCTTCAGGTTACAGTCTTTAGCTTCGCCATATACATGGCTCTAGGCTTGTACGTGGGTAGGCGGTCTGGGATCTGAATGATCTGTTAAACATTAGATGATCTTGGTAAAGGAGGTAAAGCCCAGAATGATATGCTACTTGCAATTTTCTTTTAAAGAGCACACAAGGTAATGAAAGCATGGCAGATCAGAACTGTTGCATGCATTCTCATTTCAGAAATCTCCTTAAATTGTTCTCAGGGTTCAATAAGACATTCTACCTCCTTGTGAAAACAAGGCCAACTTTGATTAACTTTACAGTTTTACCAGAAATTGAAGACTCTGTGATTGGCAAAACCAGGATGGATTTGGGGTGGACAAATAGCAACCTTCTGATCTGCTGTGTAAAATCACATGTTAGTTAAATAGCAGTTTCAGCTATGTGCTTAAGAAGACTTTAGTTACCATCTGATTTTAGTGGCACAGTATTTATTGAATGTTGTTGGCATATACGTGTCTAACCTATGTGTTATAAGTTTCAAGCTGTTGTTCCAGGAGCTCGTCACCACCTTGGTAAATATTCACTGAGCTGCAAAATCTTTATTTTTGTCCATTTTAATTCAGCAGTTTCTAAGTATGGATTAAATATATAATATTTAATAAATATATAATAGTAGAGTAGCTACATCACTGGTTATTAATACCAAGGCCTGGACTAACAATAGAGGGGCAGAAGTGCAAACCAAACCATGGCATTTTGTGAAACTGAATATGATTCATACATGTAAAATATAACCTGGAAATTGAATATTTGAACTCAGTAAAAATACCATGAATCTTTTGGTTTGTAACTTTTCACAAAAAAGTTCACTAATCTTTTTTAACCAAAGAGGCCTGTCATCCTTGAATGGTGTCATGATTATGACACCAGTTCTAGAACAAAGTAGTCGAATTTTAATTTTAGGGCATCTTGGTTGATTCAAGTCTTGGTTCAACTAGGGATGAACTATGACTGTTGGCATTGCCAACAACATTATATTCCACAAATTAATGATTAAAAGTTTTTTTTAAGTTGCGATCTCATAACTAGGATGTAACCTTGAACTGTTTACCATGACATTACCTAGAAAAAAAGCAGGGTAGTTCTGACCAAGATATATCCCTCTAGCAGAAACAGATAACCTGATCACTAGCCTCGTTGGTTGTGTACATTTGGTTACAATACCTACGTAACATTGACTTTACACAACAGCCATGAAGTACTTAGGATGTCCTGAGGTTGAGAAAGGTGCTTAAAATGATCATTAAATCACTTCATGATGTCACAGCTCTTTTTTTGTCATAAATAATTCAGTCCTACAACATCAAACCTACTCACTCCAAATTGCCTTCTTGTATGAACACACTGCCACCCCATCTTTGTTACACTTTTGGCGGCCATACCTTCAGCCTCCTAAGTCCAAATTACAGATTTGCCTCCTAAACCTCTCAAAGCAGCACTCTTAAGTTATTCATAAATCAGAAGCTAGTGCTGTCAGTCTGTGTCAAGACTTGAGCCATGTGATCTAGCCTGACACTTCAATGCAGTATTGAGGGAGGTGCTGATCTATCACAGATGCCATCTCTCAGATGAACCATTAAACTGAGCCACGTCTCTCCATTTCGAGTGAATGTGAAAGATCCCATTGCACTATAAGATGAAGACAGCTTCTAGGATCCTGGGGAAATTTTTTCGGGGTAGCAACGTTATTGAAATGGATTATGAGGTCACTTATCAAGCTACTGTTGTTGGTTATTAGCCTATTCAAAAGGGCTGCAATATTTCCTATGTTGCAATGGTGACTAACTTCAAAAGTCATTTTGGGTCAGGACCCTTCTTCAGAAAACGTCAACTTTCCTGCTCCTCTGCTGCCTGGCCTGCTGTGTTCCTCCAGCTCCACATGGTGTTATCTCTGACTCCAGCATCTGTAGTTCTTACTATCTGATCTCTTCAAAAGTCATTAATTGGCTGTGAAGCATTCTGGGGCATCCAGAGCTCATGAAAGGCAATTTCACAATGCAAATTTGTTAATTTCCTAAAAGCTGCATATACTTAACTGCATGCATTTAAAGGACTATGTGGACTCATAATGTTTTGAAGATGCAGCTTTCATTCCTTAAAACTGAAGTATCTGATATTTTATTTTGTTAGGATACAGTATTGTGGGATATGCTATGTACTACAACACATATGATGCTTGGATTGGAAAATCACTATATCTTGAAGATTTCTATGTAATGGAAGAATTTAGAGGTAAAGTAAAACTTCTTTTTTGGAAAAGAGGCTTCCTAGGTGAGGCAAATGCCTGTATTAATTTTGTCCAAATCATTAAAACTAATTTTAGCTAATGCAATAACATTTTGCATTTATTACTGTATTACTGTACATCTCTCACGAAGCATTGAAAAGACTGCAGAAAATTCACGAGAATGGTTCTGGGCTTGAGGAACTTCATTTACGAAGATAAAAGTCAGGTTTGTTCTCCTTGGATAGGAGAAGACTGAGAAGAGATTTGGTAGAAGTTTTCAAAATCGTGAGGGGTTTGAACCGAGAAGGTAGGGAGAAACTGTTTCCACTTGTGAAAGGGAGAATGAAAGGGTATTGACTTAATGCAATTGGAAAAAGAAGTAAATGCAAGTTGAGAAAAAGAATTTCCATTCAGCGAATGGCTAAGGCCTGGAATACACTGTCTGAGATGGTGGTGGAGGCAGATACAATTGAAGCATTCAAAAGGGAGTTGGACAGTAACGTGAAAAGAGAATGAGCAGGGCTACAAGAAAAATGATGCTGAATTGCTCATTCAAAGATCTGGTGCAAACATTTGCCAAATGCCACCCTCTGAGCTGTAACAATTCTACGATTCAGTTAATGTTAAAAACACAGGTTAGATACCTGTAACACTTCTGAATTGTAGATCTTAAGACCTCAGTAAGGAATGTATGGTGCTCTGCTCTGCTTGTCAATGAGTCAGAGACCATGAGCATGTATTCTGGATTAGTGCTTCAGTACAATACTGACCAAGCATTAAACTACTGGAGATCTGTGACTCTAGAGATGCTTGGATCAGCTGTTGAGTAAAGGTCCTATCTGCCTGCTGAGGTGGATGGGAAAACAATTCCATGAACCATTGAAAATTAAGCTCTGGTTAATCCCACCAAATGTATTAAATGCTTTTTGGTCATCTTTTTCTTATAACAAGGCAGCAGTTTTTAAAAATTTGTTCATAGGATGTGGGTGTCACAGGCTAAGCTAGCAATTATTGCCCATCCCTAATTGCTCTTGAAGGTGTTGGAGAGGGAATTCCAGGAATTTGATCCGATTGATATTTGAGGGAACAGCAATAGTTCCCGATCAGGAGAGTGAGTGACGTGAAGGGGAACTGATAGGTTGTGGTGTTCCCATGTATCTGCTGATAGCACTTTTGAGAACTTGTAGTAATAGAATCCTATAGTGCAGAAGCAGGCTACTTGACCTGTCGAGAGCACACTGACCATCCGAAGAGCATCCCACTCTGATCCATCCCTCTACCTGAACCCTGTATCACAGCAATTCTCATGGCTAATCCACCTAGCCACCACATCTCTAGACACTACAGGGCAATTTTGCATAGCCAATCCACCTGACCTGCACATCTTTGGACTGTGGGAAGAAGGAAATCCATACCAACACGGGGAGAATGTGCAAACTTCACAGACAGTTTCCAGGGGTGGAATCAAACCCAGGTCTCTGGCGCTGTGAGGCAGCAGTGCTAACGACTGGGTCACCGTGCTGCCCACAGCACTTCTATCACTTCACTGATGATCAAGTGTAGACTAATGGGATAGTAATTGATGGACAGATTAATTCTATTTTTGCTGCCAAAACATACCTGGGCAATTTCTAAATTGATCAGTAGGTGCAAGTGTTGTAGTTTTACTGGAACAGCTTGGCTAGGAGCATGGCAACTTCTGAAGCACAAGTTGTCAGTAGCATTACAAGAATGTTATCAGCACCCGTGGCATTTGCAATGTCCAGTGCCTTCAGCCATTTCTTGATGTCCTTGTGAAATTAATTGAATTGAATCAATTGAAGTCTGGCATCTGTGATGCTGGGGACCTCTGGAGGAGGCCAAGATTGATCATCTGCTCAGGACTTCTTGCTAAACATTTTAATGCAAACACTTCAACATCATCTTGTTGCACTTGAATTCCCAATCATTGAGGATGGGGATATTTGTGGAGCCTCCTCATACTCAGCATTGTTTAACTGCAGAGCTTAGATCTGATCTTTTGGTTGTGGATCACTTGGCTTTTCCTATCATATGTTCCTTGCATTGCTTGGCATGCATGCAGTCCAGCTGTAGTTTTAAACCCTAGATAATGGTGACCAAAAATACATCATTGACTGATTGTAGATCCCTCAGGATGTCCTGGGATATGTTTCAGTGCAACATAAATGTTTGTGTGTTAATTGTTGAACTCAGTGTCACAACCCTGCCAGGTGAAGTAGGCAGCTGCAACCTAGTCTATATATATTTCCAAGCTTTGAATTGCAAATATGAGCATTACTCATGTTTAGCTGGAGATGCACCAAAACTGCATATAAACACAGATTTGGTTGGGGGGATTGAGGGGTGACACGGTCTTGTGGCATGGTGGCAGTACTCCTATCATTGGAACAAGAGACTGGGCCAGAGATGTATAACAGCATCTCCGAACAGGTCGGTTTAAAAAGAATCTATAAGTTTCCAATTATGGAGCACCAAGTGGACACGAAAATCCAATTGACATTCAATTATCACTCTATACTTTGTTACACTTTGACTCAGTCTGTGTTTAAACAGGAAATGCATCCAGTCAATCACTAGCCTATTATTCTCTGGCATACTTGCAAGAAAATCTGGAGAGTAAACAAAACAATTGTTAAAGTTTATAGAGGACAAAGTCCCAAAATGACCAACTCCTTCAGCGTGTCCTATCAAGTAAATTTTATTTAAGCAAATGACATGGGTTGTAATAATGATTGGATTCCCTTTTGCAGGATATGGAATTGGTTCAGAAATTCTGAAGAAGATCAGTCAGGTAAACAAAAAGTGATTCCTACTTATTACCTTTTCAGATTCTCTGTAGCTACTCCTTCAAGGAATGAGAAGGCACAAGCATTGTTGTTGAGGGTGAGAGTTTTCCAAATTTTCTTGATGTTAGAGCATTTTTCTTTTTATTGATTTAAGGGATATGAGTGTTGCTGGCTTGGCAGGCACTTATTTCCCATCGTAATCATCCAGTTGCTGTGCATCTGTGTCACCTATCAGCCACACCAGGTAAGGTTTCCCAAGTGAACCATATGTGTTTTACAACAATTGACAGTGGTATATATGGTCAGCATTAGACCGGCTTTTTTAAATCTGTTTTTATTTATATTAAAATTTTACCACACGCCATGGTGGGATTCAAAGCATGAAGATTAGCCTGGGATTCTCGACTGCTAGTCACCACTTCCCATTCTGTTAGTCTTTTGAGTTTCAACCTTCCCAATGTCAGGAAGGAAAAGTAAAATAGCTTTGTCAGAGTAAGGAAAGGTAGTCACGAAAAATCCTCCCAGTTCTGGTACACAAATCTCCAGAATGAAGTTTTTGGCCTTGGCAATGAAATTAATGTAATGATGAGTGCCACAAACCAAAAGTATGGAACGTTGGAAATGGATGGAACATCACCTGAAAGGACAAGGGCAGCAGATACACAAGGATACCACGTCCCGCAAGTTTCCCTCCAAATCCCTCACCATCCTGACTTAGAAATATATCACCATTCCTTCATTGTCGCTGCATCAAAATCTTGGGACACCCTCCCTCATGGCACTGTGTGGGTGTACCTGCAACCACCTAACCCACCACTGGGTGACTGCAGCAGTTTGAGAAAGAAAGAAGCTCCCCACCACCTTCTGCAGAATAATTAGGAATGAGCAATAAATGCTAGCCGTCACGTGAACTCATAAGAAAAACAGATCATTTTCTTCTTCTCCTTTCATCATCTTCTATCTCCATAATTCAAACCATTTAAATGTAATGTCATGTTTCAAACACAATTTTAAATTATCTTGGGATAAGGCAGCACTCCTTTAAAATGCAAGTTTATTTTTCCTCTGCCAACTTAATTTTCCAAATTTCGTGTGTGGGTTTCAGGCAACTGTAAGCTGATCCTTTCATTGAGCTTTTCCTGGATTTTATTGTGCTGTTCATGCTGACCTCCAGGAAGATGCATTATTCATTAACAGTCCCTGTTAATCCATTGCCCTCTGTGTACTATAAGCCTGTTATTTTAAGAGTCCTTAACAGAAATGAGGCCGTGGACTGTGCTTGTGATATGAACAAAGGTCTTGTGACTTTTGCCTGCTGTATTTCATGTTCTCTTTATGCCAAATGTTGAGATTTATTTTAAAAAAAAACACTTTTAGAGTCATAGAGTACATAAGTGACAAAAACAAAGTTGCTGGAAAAGCTCAGCAAGTCTGGCAGCATCTATGAAGGAAAGAACAGTTAACGTTTCGGGTCCGGTGACCTTTCCTCAGAACAGTTCTCCGAACCTGCTGAGCTTTTCCAGCAACTTTGTTTTTGTTCCTGATTTACAGCGTCTGCAGTTCTTTCAGTTTTTATTGAGTACATAAGTGAGTTGTTTTGCTCAATCTTTACAATATAATGATTAAGCCTCTTTTAAGGTATTGTGCTCAAATACTTGGGATGTTAACCATTTGGGGAAAGATGCAGAGAAGATTTTCTAGAAGAATCATACAGCATAGAATCAGGCGCTTTGGCCCACCATGTCTATGCCAACCAATAAAACTACACTACACTAGTACCTTTTACCCGCACATGATCCATAGCCTACTATGCCCTGGCATTTTTAGTACTCATCCAGATGCTGATTAAATATTGAGAGTACCTGCCTCCACCACCATATGCAGGCAGCACATTCTATATTTCTACCACTCTGTGGGTGGATGAAAATTCTTCCCAGATCTCCTCTAAGCCACTTGCTCCTCACCTTAAACTTTTGCCCTCTGGCCTTAGACACATCTGCCATAGGGATGAGGTTCTCATGATCTACCCTGTTTATATCTCATAATTTTGTATACTTCAGCCTCCTCTGCTCCCGGGTATAAACAAACCCAGTCTATCTTGTCTGTCCTCATAACTGAGACTTTTCATCCCGGGCAACATCCTGATGAATCTCCTCTACACCATCTTCAGTGCTATCATGTTTTCATGATAGTGTGGCAACTAGAACTGCATACAGTATTCCGTCTGTTGCCTCACTGAGGTCTTATAATACTACAAGGCATGAGAGACTTTAGTTATATGGAAAGACTGCAAAATCTGGGATTGTTCTTCCAGCAGAAAAATGAGGAGATTTGATGAAACTGTTCAAAATAATGAAGGGTCTTTAAGTTGTATAGCAGGAAACTGTTCCCACTGACAATATAGTTGATTATTGCAGGACACAATTGGCAGAAGAGCCGGAGGAGGAGATTTGAACATTTTTAATGCAGTGATCTGGACAATACAACCTGAAAGGATAGTGAAAGCATTTCAATGGTAATTTTCCAAAGGGAACTGGATATTAACATCAGTCAGACAGCACAGAAACAGACCCTTAACTTGTATGAGACACCTAATTCTGCCTCAGCTGGAGTTTTGTGTACAGTTCTGGGCACCAATCATTTTTAGGTAAGATGTGAAAGCATTGCAGTAAGTGCAGAAGAGGTTTATGAGAAGTTCCAGGGATGAGGTATTTCTGTTCTGAAAATGAATTCGAGAAGCTGAGACTGTTCTCCTTGGAGAAGTAAAGGCTGAAAGGAGATTTAAAATCATGAGGTCTGAAGGGAGTAAATAGGGAGAGAATGTTCCCATTTGTTATAGGATCAAGAACAAGAGGGCAGAGATTTTAAACCAATAGTGGAAGGAAACAAAATATGAAAAAACCTTGTCACACAAACAGCGATTTAGGAATGCACTGCCTGAGTGTGGGGGAGGCAAGTTAAATCCAGCATTCAGGGAGGAATTAAATTATTATTTGAATGTGTACGATTAAAGGAAGAAGATAGGAAAGTGGCACGAGGTGAGGTGTTCATTCAGAGTGCTGATTCTACATGGCAAAACCTCTTCTTCTTCTGTAATAATTTTGTGAACTTGAAGGAAAGAAAATTACCAAGCTATGGAGATAGAGCAAGGCAGTGAGCCTAATTAGATGGCTCTCCCAAAGTGCCGGCAAAGGTATGATGGACTAAATAGCTGTTTTCTGTTCTGTATGGATTTTTGAATTGGAGTCACTGAATAAGTTTGTACTAATGGAAACAAACCCATATTGAGAGTAAACTCTGCTGTGTCTCAGGTTGCTGTGCAACACCGCTGTAGCAGCATGCATTTCGTTGTGGCAGACTGGAACCAACGTTCAATCAATTTTTACAAGAAACTCGGTGCTACTGACCTGTCCAAAACGGAAGGGTGGCATCTGTTTGAGATTTCAAAAAAACACTTGGTTAAAATGGCAACTGAAGAATGAGTTGGAAGAGCAAAGTCCAGGTATAATTATTATTTCTTCCCAAAGTGCCTTAATTGAAAATTTTATGTAGTTGATGTAAATTTAAGACTTTTTATGTTTAATGTAGAATCGCTCCCTGCAACAGAATAATTTAGCAATGTACTTTTTACTTATAAAAATCACTGCAATATGGATTCTGTTGTTGAACCTGTACTATTTAACCAGCTATCTTGTGCAAAAATATATAAAGGAATTTGTAAATTGTGGGTTTATGTCGCTTATGCCAACTGATAGTGTTTCTGCCCTGTTGGGAAATGTTGTGCTATAACACTGTGTGTATATATAGCTTTTATTTGGAGATGGTGTTAATATTGATGAAAACTGAGTGTTTCTCTCTAAGTAAAACAATCACTTGTGTTTTACCACATTGTTGCTTCCTTCCAGTTCAAGGAAAACAAATCTTACCACACCTCCACTGTCATCACTTTTATTTGTTTTCTCATATTTCATGAGATTGTATTCAAATCTCTCTTTGACAATTAATTGAATTTAATTCTACATTTGTTAACCAAATTTACAAAGTTAAATTAACAGTGACCGTGAAACCATGGGTTTTTACAAAAAAAAATCAATCTGGTTCACTAAGGAAGAGGAATCTGCTGAGCTTGCCTGGTCTGTTCCACATATGACTCCAGGTCCACAGTAGTATGGTTGACTCTTAAATAGCTGAGCAAGCAACTCAGCAATACCAAGCCACTATGAATGAAACCGGATGGATCACCTGGAAATGCTGATGGCAAACCCAGTTGTGTTTATGAAACATCCTCCTTGCTGACGTCTGAGGACTTGTCAAAATTGGGAGAGCTGACCCACAGATAAGTCAATTATATTAAGGCAATAAGTATGATTATTTCCAGACCCCACCATCACTGTCTCTTGGCAATGCTGACTGCCAGAGTGGTGGCTTAATGGTACTTAGTCAGGAAGGAGTGTCACTGGGAATCCTCAGCATTGACTCTGGACCCAAAAATCTCATGGCATCAAATTAAACATGATCAAGGTCCCTGCTGATTCCACAATCTGTCCTCACTGAGCAGATAAATCAGTACTTCTCCATGTGAGCACTGCTTAAAAGAAGCACTGCGAGTGGCAAGGGCCCAGAATGCACTTTGGATAGGAAATATCAATGACCATCACCAAAAATAGCTTGGTGGCATCACTACTGACCTGGTTGAGTTTTAAAGGACTATAACTGCTAAACTAAGTCTGCAGCAGGTTGTGAGGGAACCAATAAGAGAGGAAAAATGTAGTTGATCTCACCCGACCAATCTACCAGTGACAGATGCACAAGTCCATCACAGTGTTGAAAGGAGGAGGCACCACACATTCATTGTAGAGATGAAGTGCTGCCTTCCCGTTGAGAATATACCCTCCATTGTGTTGTATGGCACTACCACCATGCTAAATAGACTAGATTTCAAACAGATCTAGCAACTCGAGATTGGGTATCTATGAGGTGCTGTGGGCCATCAGCAGCAGAATTGAATTCAAACACAATCTGTAATCTAACAACCCAATATATCCTTCGAACTCTACCATTACCATGAAGCTGGGGAATCAATCCTAGATCTATAAAGAGAGCAGGAGGGAATGCCAGGAGAAGGAAACTGCCATCCTTACCTGATTTGGTCTACGTGTGACTCCAGACCCACAGCAATGTGGTTAACTTTTAACTGCCCTTCAGGCAATTAGGGATGGGCAATAAATGCTGACCCAGCCAGTGATGCCCACATCTCGAATGAATTTTAAAAAAAAAACAGGCATACCTAAAAATGAGGTGCTAACTTGTTGAAGACAGAAATTATGTCTACTTGCATGCCAAACAGTGGAAGCAAAAGATTGAGCTAAGCAATCCCACAATCAATCAGGTGCAAACCCTGAAGACCTACCACATGGAAACAGTTTGACAATTAAACCATTTAATAGATGAAAAAATGTCATAAATATCCCCAATGACGCAAAAGTCAACGCTGAACAATTTACAACCATTTTCTACCAGACATGCCAAATGGATGCAGAAGTTGCTGGAAAAGCTCAGCAGGTCTGGCAGCATCTGTGAAGAAAAAATCGGAGTTTAAGTTTCAGGTCCGGTGACTTTTCCTCAGAACAGACCTGAAAGTTAACTCTAATTTTTTTTCTTCACAGATGCTGCCACATCTGCTGAGCTTTTCCAGCAACTTCTGTTTTGTTCCTGATTTACAGCATCCACAGTTCTTTCGGTTTTTATGCCAAATGGATGATCCATTCAATCTTCTCCTGAGATCGCCAGCATCATGGATGTAAGTTTTCAGCTAATTCAGTTCACTTCTCATGATGTGTAGAAACAGTTGAAGATACTGGATACTACAAAGGCTGTGGGCCCTGACAACATTCCAGCAATTGTGCTGAAGACTTGTGCTCTAGACCTAACTGTGCCCTTTGCCAAGTTATTCCAGTTAGCTACAACAGTGATATTGACCTGATAGAATAGAAAATTGCTCACCTGTGTCCTGTCCACTAAAGCAGGACAAATTCAATCCAACCAATTACCATCCCGTCAGTCTGCCCTTGATCTTCAGCAAAATTTTTATAATTGATTCACAAGATGTGGGCCTCACTGGCTAGGCTGGTATTCATTGCCCATCCCTAGTTGCCCAGAGGGCAGATAAATCCCAACCGTATTGCTGTGGGTCTTGAGTAGACCATGTAAGGATAGCAGTTTCCTTCCCTAAAGGACATTAGTGAACAAGAAGGGCTTTTCCTGACAGTTGGTAGTGGTTTCAGGATCATCATTAGACTCTTAATTCCAGACTTTTATTGGATTCAAATTCCACCATCTGTTGTGGCAGGATTCAAACCCAGATCCCCAGAACATTACCTGGGTCTCTGGATTAACAGGAGAGCAATTTTCTATTCAATCAGGTCAATATCATTGTTGTAGCTAACATAATGATAACACCATCAGGTCATAACATCCCCAGCAAAGTAACAGAACGAGTCTTTGACAGTGCTATTGAGCAGCACTTACTTAGCAATAACCTGCTCAGTGACAGTCAGATTGATATCTGCCAGGACCACTCAGCTCCTGACCTCATAATATTAATCCACACATGGACAAAAGACCTAAACTTGAGAGATGCGATGAGAGTGGTTAGCCTTGATTGACTGTGGCATCAAGTTGAAACTGGAATCAATGGGAATAGCGGGAAAACTCTACATTGGTAAGAGTCATATTGAGTTACAAAGGAAGATGGTTGTGGTTGTTGGAGGTCAGTCATCTCAGCTCCAGGACACTTCTGCAGGAGTTCCTCAAGGCATGCCTTGGCCTATCTTCAGCCACTTCATCAATTACCTTCCCTCCATCATAAGGTTAGAAGTGGGAAATTCACTGATGATTACATCATATTCAGCAACTGCTCCCTCCAAGCCTTAATAAAAACTGAAAGAACAGCAGATGCTGTAAATCAGGAACAAAAACAGAAGTTGCTGGAAAAGCTCAGCAGGTCTGGCAGCACGTGTGAAGAAAAAATCAGAGTCAACATTTCGCGTCCGGTGACCCTCTCCTCTGAACTGAGACCCAGTTTTTGTTCCTTCAAACCTTTTTCATTTATGTACTCATCCAAATGTCTTTTAAATAATGTAACATCCACCACTTCCTCTGGCAGTTCATTCCACACACGAACCACTCTGTGTAAAAACAAAAAAATTTGTCCCTCATGTCCTTTTTTAAATCTTTCTCCTCTCACCTTAAAATTATGCTCCTAGTTTTAACTCCCCAACCCTAGGGAAAAGACCCTTGCTATTCACCTTATCTATGCCCCTCATGATTTTATAAATGCCTACAAGTTCACCCCTCAACCTTCTATGCTCCAGTGAAAAAACTCCCTGTTCATCCAGAGATAGTAGGAACTGCCAATGCAGGAATCTGAGATAACAAGGTGTGGACCTCCAGACCCGAAACATCAGCTTTACTGCTCCTCTGATGCTGCCTGGCCTGCTGTGTTCCTCCAGCTCCACACCTTGTTATCCCTGTTTATCCAGCCTATTTTTAATAACTCAAACCTTCCATTCCCAGCAACATTCTGGTAAATCTTTTCTGAATCCTCTCCAATTTAATAATAATCTTCCTATAACAGGGCGACCAGAACTGCATACAGTACTCCAGAAGAGGCCTCGCCAACATCCTGTACAACCTCAAAATGACATCCTAACTCCTATACTCAAAGGTCTGAGCAATGAAGGCAAGCGTGCTAAATGCCTTCTTAACCACCCTGTCTACCCGCAACACAAATTTCAAAGAATTACATAACTGAACACCTTAGGTCTCTCTGTTCTACAACACTACCCAGGGCCATAGCATTAATTGTATGAATCCTGCCCTTGTTTGTTTTACCAAAATGCAATACCTCGCATTTATCCAAATTTAATTCCACCTGTGACTCCTCGGTCCATTGACCCAATTGATCAAGATCTCTTTAATTTTAGAAAACCTTCACTGTCCCCTATACCACTAACTTTGGTGTCATGTGCAAACTTACTATCCATGCCTCGTATATTCACAACCAAATCGTTTGCAAAAATGACAAACAAAAGTGGACACAGTACCAATCCCTGTGTAACACCGCTGGTCACAGGCCTCCAGTCCAAAAAACAACCCTCCACTGCCATCTTCTGTCTCCTACTATAAAGCCAATTTTATGTCCAACAGGCAAGCTCACCCTGAATCCCATGTCAGCTAACTTTATTAATTAGTCTTGTTAAAAGTCCACGTAAGCAACGTCTATTGCTCTGCCCTCATCAGTCTTTTTGGTTACTTCCTCAAAAAAACTCAATCAAGTTTGTAAGACATGATTTTCCCTCACACAAAACCCTGCTGACTATCCCTAATCTGTCCTTGCCTCTTCAAATGCATGTAAATCCTATCTTTCAGAAACACCTTCAACAATTTATCCACCAAGGTCAGGCTGATAGGTCAGATCACTCTTGGGAAATAGGGTGGGACAGGTAACTGAGGTTACAGTGGTGGAGCACTTTGGGACCAGTGACCACAGTTCTATTAATTTCAAAATAGTCATGGAGAGGGACAAAACTGGTCCACCGGTTCAAGTTCTAAATTGGGGCAAGGCGAACTTTGATGGAATTAGACAGGAGCTTGCAGGGGTTGATTGGAGTAGTTTGTTTGCAGGCAAAGGGACCTCTGGCAAGTGGGAGGCCTTTAAAAGTCTGATAGCTAGATTTCAAGGTTTATATGTTCCTGTGAGAGTGAAGGGCAGTATAAGGGAACCCTGGATAGGCTTTGACCAGAAAAAAGAAGGAGCCATGGCTCAGGTACAGACAGCTGGGATCTAGGGAATCCCTGGAGGTATAAAGGGGATACAGGAGT